AAAAAAAAAAAACCACGAAAAAACCCCACGGTGAAAAACAAACAAACAAGCAATCAAACAAAACCAAGCAAAAATGCTTCCAGCCACTTCTGGAGTAGCTTTAAGCTGCCTCTCATGCCACAAGAGCTTTGCCCTTTTTGAGAACGTAATCACATGTTTAGATTCAATCTCCATTTTGTTGCAGGTCTTCCATCTGTTCTGTTAGATGCCTTAGTTCTCAGAAACAGAGAAACAGGGAACAGAAAAACAAAGAGGTCAAAACATTACTCTTTGAGAAGGGCAGTAATTTGATTCTATGTCTTAGGTCTGCAGTCTTCTCAAAAGCACATTAGTGTATATAATAATGGTCCTTAGTTTCCTTTCACAAATGTGAGTCAAATAATTAATTGGTCTTTGGACAACAAATAGGAATAGGAAAGTACTGGTGTCTTTTCTGGGTTGTACCTCATACTGGGGGGTAAGTGCTGTGAACAAAGCCTGCTCTAGAGACAGCTGGCTCTACTTAATGACAGTCAGAGATCTAAATAAAGATTTGAACTTCTATGCCTCAGTTTCCACATATAAAATGAGGAAACGGTATCAGCAAGAAGCTGGGGAAAGTACCAAGGAAAACACTGTACAAGAAGAAAACTGCAGCTTGGGAATGTAATTTCCCACTCTGAACCACTTTGAAAAAAAAACACAGCTGTGCAGCCCCAAGAAAGGCATTGTTTTCTCATCTGGCCTGGAATATTCCCAAGCAGTTTGGCTCAGAATCATCACAGTGTGGTTGTCTGGTGGCCCACGACCTTTAGATTAACATTCAACACTCTTAAACCAGCCTTCCTTTCCCTGGGCAATATGCTTCGGCAGCAAATCCATCTCCATCTCTGACCTTCGCCTTGCTCTGCTGTTCTCCCTGATATCCCTCAGGTGAGGTGAGAGATCAGGATGTGTGGGGAGAGAGCATGACGGAAAGACAGATGGACAACAGAGGCTTCAGGATATTCAGGGGAATGTGAAGAGGCTTTAGATACAGTCTCTGAGGCTGCCTTTATTGGTTCACCCTCATAAGAGGAGCGATCCTTGGTTAAACGAGAGAACAAATTATTATGCAACCCATATAACAGGGATGCCATTCCAAATTAGACACAGAGAGCAACAGTATGGTGCACGAAATATGGTGTGCACAGCTAAAACCTGTAAGGTAGTACATCTCCGAGCAGCTCCACAGCAAGGAAACAATGCTATTTCAAGTTAGACTGGTGCCAGAGAGAACTCAGTGAGAAGGACTGTAAGCCTCAGGCTAGATCTGCCCACAATAATCTGCAGGTTTGACTCTGCGATGGATTGAAATGCAATAACAGTGTTTATGCAACTAAATCTTGTTCTAATCCATTAGTTTATGTAACCTTTGCTCATGGACATACTGACTCATAGGTCTCAGGAATCCAAAGAAAATCTTTAACTCTCTCCCATCCTTCAGCCCCTTGGTTGTCAAACACACAAACAGAACGTTCACAGAGCTCTCACTCATCCTCTCTGAGAGAAAAAGTGGGTTGATAGGACAGAAAAAAAAAAAAGTACCAAGTCCTAAAAAGCAATGTGCTTGTCTGTAAACACAAGTTTTATAATAAGTTGGATAACAGCAGGCAAGCGTCCTTCAGGTTAGCATTGCCAAAGTCACGCTGTGCCACTGGACCTCAGGCTGGGAAAGGATCAGAAATGCTTAGGTTGGCTCCTGGGGGAAAAAAGTATAAGCAGGGGGAGCAGGCAGTGTGCAACAGGCTGCAGCAGGCAGGTTCAGTCACTGCTAGCCTACACACATCTGTTTCTTTTGCCCCCCCCTCCTGCTTATTTGGCTGACCAAGCTCTAACTTAGATTTTTTATTTGAATCAAAACAAACTTCCCACAATTGAAGAGTTCACATAACTTCTGTGATGTTGCCCGTATGACTATTTCTGATTTCATTTCTAATGAAATGGAGGGTTCCGGCACAGCCAGAGCCCACTGATACCTCAAGGAATTATATGCATTGTATTAATTGTACTTAGGAGATGTCATGAGTGCATCCGAGACACTGCAATTTATTTGTGCAGCACCACACATTCTGTGTGTGAGTGCTCTTATCTTTATTTCTTGTGGCAACAGCGGTACAAGAACAGGCACAGAGTCGTTTCATGCCGAGCCCCTTTAGATATTCTGATGCTTTCCCAGCGCATCCCGTGATCACACAGAATCCGTGTGTCAGAGCCAGAAGCCGGGTCAGTCACCCCGCACAGCCCTGTGCAGCCGTTTGCACATCGCAACCCAGCAGATGGAGCCAAAGAGCTGCAGGTGGCCCTCAGCCCCCAGCGGCTTTGCAGGGGGGCGTCACTGAACTCACGCACAGTTAGGACTTAATTACATGAAAAGTTTATCCTTTTTCCCCCCCAGTCACGATCCCCATCCCTCCGGATCTCACTAATCTTGCTCAGATTTTGGGCACTGTTATCTTACCATTATTTTTAAATACAAATGCGTGGGATGGCCTCTGAAAACCTGCTATATACAGAAAGGTCTCTGGGTGACTGCCTACAGAAACAACTACAGAAGCCACAGGTCTTCAGATTTCAGTATTTCATTCCAGTTGTATAAGCTCCCCAAAACCAAGACCAATTTTTGCTCACAGTTGGAAATTCCCAGTCCCACTGAGCTGTACCCACTGGGGCTGCATTGCACACGGTGTAATTGCTATGCCATCACACGTGCAGGAAAATATGAAAATATGACAACAAATATATGGCAAGGGGTTCATTTTGCATGGGTACACAAGTACACAAGGCCCGTGCAAGGCCTTGTCCCAGCTACACAATTTAGATTTCTGTTACCAAGGCCAAGTGGTGTGAAAACCAGAAGACACACATGCCCTCAAAAGCTCTAAAATCAAGCAAAACAAAGCTTCCCAGCCACCTCCTCTGCAAGAAGCCTCTGTAGGCCTTGTGCACAACATCTGTGAATTTGGAGCTTTGTATTAAAAGCCTTTCTAGAGGAACATTTTGTACTGATTTTTATTTGGAACAGCAACAGCTGTTAACTTTCTCAACGCAAAAATATGCCATGCAAACACATGACAGCAAAGCAGACACCATCTCCGAAATTCTTACTGTAACATAAGAGAATGCATTTAAACAGCATATCAATTCACTTTTTTTTTTTTTTTTCCTGTATGAAACAGAATGCAGAGAAGTCACCTTCAAGAAAGCTTTTTGTGTTACTGCATTGCTTCACTTTCACACCAAAGCCCAGCTTTGAGCAGGAGGAGGTGCTATTCCTAATAGGATTAGGAAATAGGTTAAAGCATACTAAGAGCAAGAGGAAAATACAAGGTAGAAAAAGAAATGTTCTAAATTCCATAGAAACCCTGACACGCTGACTATGTACATTTTTAGGCATACTGTAGTGCTGCTGAAAAGATCTTTCAGAAGGCCCTTAAGAGAGAGTGAATGCATTGTGCTCCTGGCTGTCGGGGACACAAATATATAGCAATAGAAGAGCATCAAAGCATGGAAAAATCTGTCTTGCACAGCATGCCCTGTTTTTCACATGCTCACAGGCACCACTGAGCTGTTCTGCTTCAGAAAGAAGCTGATGGGACAGATACACTCAGGTGGAAGGTTTGCACAAGTCCAGAGAGAATTCTGCCCATCTCTCCATGGAGAACATTGAGTTTAGCTACAGATTCAGGGGGTTCACTGGGCTAAGATGAAACACCAAAGTTGGAACCCAAAGTGAGGTTCCTGCGTTAGGTTTCAGCTTCTCCATTTTCTCTGTCTGGCTGCCTTTCTCTTAGGTGCCTTTAGAGGCAGCACATGTGGCAGATGGTGAAGATTTTCTCCTGCTCTCTGTTTTGGCCCTGACTGCCTCATACCTGCAGTTCTACTGCGAGCAGTTCTGGATCATCACCTGAGACACTCTGAGCACTTCAAGGCAACAACTGCCAACAGTAAAGCTGAGAAAAAGCATTTCTGAGGAACTGGATCCCCTCTGGATGTCCCTGCTCTCTTTCTCTCTCTCTCTTCCACTCCCAGCTTTTCTTTTGAAAGGAAACCAACAAACAGCTCCCAGAACAGATCCACCAGAGGATATTTTCTGACAGACTAGATTTTTCATTACATCTTTCTTTATGAAATAGTCACATATCCATAGCTTGCTAAAGCCAAGAACTAGAGGTCAGCTCAAGGCCAACAGCAGACTGTGGGAAGAAATTCTTATCTCCAGTACACAAGTGTGAATCTGGAGGAATTCCAGTTATTAAGCAATCTATAAAATAAGGTTAACAATAACTATTATGTCAAAACGCTTCTGCTATGGTTAACTACCAGTAATTAAGGCTGGTGCAGAATTTGGGAGCCTGTGAATAAAATGTACTATAGAAATTCTGAGTACTGATTATTTTTGCCCTTCACCATTAGACTTCTGTATACTGATGTGATCTATTTGCTGCAGCGAGGGTGGCTGTTAGAGCTCCCCACAGATTCGAGTCCATTATGTCCCTGAATGAAACATTAGTCTGAATTAAATTAGCCACATATTAATTGGGAAAGAAAACCTACCTCTGTACAGAAGTCATTCCAGCTGAAGGCACCACCGATGTGAAAATCAAAGTCACAAGTGCAAGGAAGTGGTGGAGATGGCTGGAGAACTCAAATACATTTCACTTAAAATGCCTGGATTTAAAGAAAAAAAAAAAAAATGAATTAAAAGAAATCTTTTCATTGAAAGAAATCTGATCTAACATTAAGAATGTTAATAAATTACAGCAGAGACCACATGTTAGAGGGGAGGGAGATCAGCCACTGAACTATGCCAGCACTACTTACTGTTAGAACAGTCTGGTGCCTGAGATTCTACAGCAGCATCTTCTCTAAGTATTTCTCCATCCTTGGGCTGTTCCTCCTACAAACAGCATTAAGTAATTAAATGCAATCCACCTCGCTGGAAACTCAATGGTGTGAAATACAGTGAGCAAATATCTCAAAGGTATCCAACTGAAGAAGCAAGATATAAGATAAAGGGTGCAAACAGGTGCATAACTTAGGTTGGTGTCTCAGGAGCACGGCAACATCTTTTTAGAAAGAACACACAGAATGCTCTTTAGACTGAATGTTCTGACATTTAACCACAATTCCTTAGCAAATTATTATCCATTTCAAACTTTTTTCTGTTTTTCAGAAGTTTTAAGAGCAACATTACAGCAGCATAACCTTTTCTACGCATTTCCTCCGTGATCACATCTGCCTTTCCCACCTCACTTTCAGCTTTGCTGAAGCTAGGAGGCACCTAGAAGTCAGAAGAGGGCAGCTAGGAAAGCAGTGTCGTCATTGCATTGCACCAAACAAGGCCAACCAACCTTCACTGAAGTAAAGAAAGCAGCCTTATGCAAAGTGGTGTCAAACACACAGTAAAATCAGACTATTTGCTATCTCCCCCATATCACGAGCTGTACTATTCCCTGAGAATGAGTATTCCCAAAAGTATTGTATAAATAAGCAATCAGAGTTAATAACAAAAGAAACAGAAGAGAAAAAACACGCAATTCAGAAATAGCTGGGGGCCTGACTCGTCGTTCTCAGAGCAAATACTACAAAAATCATTTAAAAGGGGAGAATTCAGCATCATTTACTCCACATTCTAAATTAGGATGTGTTGGTGGTTATCCTGAAGAACAGTAAAAGTGGTTTGTAGTTACAAAATGAGTTTTTACACCACCCTTTAAAGGCCTCAATAAGAAAAACTTAGATGCGTACAATGCAAAAAGTTTGTGCTATTTTACAGCAGAAAATGCAGATAATTATGTTAACAAAAATAATGTGTAAAAATAATCTATTTACTCTCCTCTTGAGAGGACTCAAAATTCAATGGGAAATGCTGAATCAAACTGCCTCAACAGTGGGACATTCAGAGTCCCGTAGAAATGGTTGATTTTCAGCAGAATCCTACTGGCTTAATTCCTATGCATTTCTTTGGCTTTTAAATTTAAAATGGTGCTGCATAAAAGCATACAATGGCTTAGGTTAAAGATGACCTTCAAAACCATCTCGTTCCAACCCCTGCCATGGGCAGGGTTGCTGACCACTTGATCAGGCTGCCCAGGGCCACCTGCAGTGCTGGGGCATCCACAACCTCCATGGGCAGCAGTGCCAGTGCCTCGCCACCCCCTGAGTAAAGAATTTCTTTCTAACCTCTAATCATAATCTCTCCTCTTTTCATTTAAAGCCATCCCCTCTTGTCCTATCACGATCAGACAGTGTAACAAGTCAGTCCTCCTCCTGCTTATAAGCTGCCTTCAAGTACAGGAAGGCCACACTGAGGTCTTCCTGCAGCCTTTTCTTCTTCAAGCTAAGCAAGCCCAGCTTCCTTCCTTTGCTTATCTTCACAGGAGAGGTGCTCCAGTCCTTGGAGCATCCTTGTTGCCCTCCTCTGGACCCGCTCCAACCCCTCCTCATCCTTCTTGTGCTGGACACAGTACCCAAGATGGGGCCTCACAAGGGCAGACTAAAGGGGAACAGTCACCTCCAACTCCTTGCTGGCCAGCACACGTTAAGTTGAAGGTACAGATTCTTACCGCGTTTGCTAAGAAGCCAACATCGGCAGGCAGGAGGAGTTACGACAAAGAACCACTCCTGCACTAAGTGAATGTGTCAGTTAAGATCTGTTTGGTTATGTTTAGTATGCAAGTAAAAGATCAGACTATTACCACCGAGCTGCTTTTTTGTATTCAGCCGGCCTCGGGGCGGGGCAGCTCCGTTCTCAGGCTCCCGGGGGGGCGGCAGCTCCCGGGCGGGGCAGATGGAGGCGAGCGGCGAGAGGAGCCCGAGCACTCATGCCAGGTAGGTAAGGGCTGGGAGCGGCGTCGGGGGTCAGAGGGAGGCTTCGGGAGAACGGAGGTAGGAAACCGGCCCGCAGCTGCCGAGGAAATGGCAACGGGAGCAGCCGGGCTGCCCCCAGGCTGGCCGCAAGCAGCTGGGCAAATGGGTCGATCCACCATTCGGCTTAAGCTCTGCCTGTGTTAATAGCTGAAATGTTGATAAACACGAGTATTTATACGGGGATTAAAAGTTGTGATGGAGAAGTGCCTGGCCACCGCCCCAAAAGGCTTACAGAGGAGTTCGAGTAAAAGCTTATTAAAAACAGATGCTAGACAAAAAGGGGCCCAGACCCAAAGAGGCACAAGGTACGCACCAGCATTTCTCTGTGTTGTGAGAAAGGCTGTCAGCACATACTTCTTTACAGAGATTCGTGATCCTCGAGGTCCCTTCCAACCCTGGCCATTCAGTGATTCTGTCAGCACCCCGAGCAGCACACACACAGCCCCCCGCAGGGTGTAGTGCCAGCAGGTCGGCTCCATGGCTGCTGCCATGATCCGATGCCACAGCACTACACAATACATCAATTGCTCAGGTAGGTATTTTGGAAGATACATATTTCATCCTGGCACACAATGGATTCAACATTTCAGTGGTTGGCTTTGCAAGCGGTGCTACAGTGTGCCCTAAACCACTGGTTCTGTTTCTGATCTGATCAGATAAGATGAACTACATAAAGAAAATGAGCCAAATGCTCCTTGCCCTCATTAAGTCCCAGGTAGATTTACTGAAATGAGTGCAATAACTGAACGAGCAGAACTGGACACACTGGCAGAGAATTATTTTGCACTGAACAAATTCAGGACATCAAACTTATGAAAGAAGAGATGAGGAACTGACGCTTTTACTCAAAATCAGGGCACAGCTGCTGTACTTTGCTGCATCACAGCACACCTCAGCTTTCTGTTCTTAATGACAGAAGTTACAGGAGAACACAGACTGCTGCCAGGCGCATTAAGGACTGGGGATTGGAGAGGACACACATTAAACAGAGCTCAGCTGAGCTCACTGAAAAATTAACTTCTGAAAGGTAGACCAGACAGCTGAACCACCAGCCATCAATATTTATATTTTTGATACAACACCTCTAGGAAGCAAATCAGTAATTTCTATTTACCTTCACTGGCATTCAATTAAAGCACTTTTCTGCATTAGGCCTTCTAATCTATTGGCTGCCTGTCTGAAGACACACTTGAGCATGCCCTATGAACCGCCGAGGAACACACACACTGGAACAGGCTGCCCAAGGAGGCTGTGGATGCCCCATCCCTGCAGGCATGCAAGGCCAGGCTGGATGTGGCTCTGGGCAGCCTGGTCTGCTGGTTGGTGACCTGCACATAGCAGGGGGTTGGAACTGGATGAGCATTGTGGGCCTTTTCAACCCAGGCCATTCTGTGATTCTATGATTTCCGTGCTCAAGGTTGAATTTTGGTTACATATTTCCTCATACTGTGCATTTTTCTAAGGGAAAATTGAGCTACCAGTGTAGCACAACCAGATTTGTCCTCGTGTTAATGTTAACCCACATCAAACGGGCACTCATTTCATGTTCCACAGAGTGAGTACTGCACTAATAAGCCTGGCTAAATACCGAAGTGCATCCAGCCTGGAGGAAGGCACAGCAAAGTGCTCACTGCTGTAGAACAGGCAGGAACAGGGAGGGTGCTCCATGGGCCTGGATACACAGCTGACAAGAGGGCTCACAGGCAGCCACTGCCTGCAGGGAGCTAAGGGAACACACCTGGAGGGGAGCTGGGAAAAAAAGAAAGAAAAAAAGCTGGCTCTTGTGATCGTACCAAAGGCAGGAAAATGAGATAGGATGGGAGAAAGGCCTTGGTGGCACTGTGGCCAGGTTAATTTTAGAGCAGAATGTTTACGTAAGTGTTCAGCAGCCGAAGGACATTCCGTATCACCCATTGCAACATGGTAACAAAGGAAACATCAGCAATACATGTATTTGCAGCTTGCTTCCTATACTAGTTTTGAAGCTGTTACTCCAAACCGCTACCATGAGAGACCCAATCCCTTGTGCTTATGTTGTCTTTATTTCTACTGCCATGCAGAGGTGACTAACTGCAAGGTATCTGCCAAGCACAGACAGAACGAGGGAGGAACAAAGCGTAAATACCAACACCTCTACCAGATGAGTCGTATCTATGCAGGTTATGGGTGCTTTATGGGTATCTTCACAGAGTTCAGAGTCTGAAAAAAGAAGCAAGGATAGAAAAGGTGCAATAGGAATAGTCAGAGAAAAGATGAAAAAGCAGAGAGGTGCTGAAAACAGTTGGAGTTAATGCCTTGGTGCTAATGAATACATGGAATAGCAGCAGTCATCTTCTTACCTTGGGAACACTGCCCAGAAGGAAAGGCAGCCCATTTGCTGCTGTGCTCCAGGACACTGGGATCCAATCAGGAATGGGTCCCTACCTATTGGAAGTAGTACAAGAAGGCCATGTGAAATTGCAGTCAGTTCTCCAATTCCTCTGTGCCTTACTTATTGCTGGATGTTACAGACCCCACCTGACGAGGCTGCATCTCAGCAGCCTACCTCAGCTTACCCATACAGTATCAGAACTGTATGAGATAGCAGATAACGTGGGGTAGATTTTAATCAAGCCCTTCTATCTAAATATCAGATCTATCAACATGACACTCATTAAAGACTCAGATAAAGGAGGAAAGCATAATTATGAATTTCTAGATTTCCATTTTTGTTCCCAAAAAGCAAAATTTGTATCCTATCTACATTATTTCTTACACTAACTCTGGTCAGGAACCTCTCCCATTCAGAACATTTAACCATGAGCTAGAAAGCACTCCAGCCTCAGCCTCACAACCCTTGGGTCATACACAGACAAGCCTGACCCAGTTGGTTGTCTTCTGGTATTTGAAAAGGAAATGACTCACTGGTGGAAGCCAACATTCAAGGCAGGTTCAGATCTCACTCTCAACCACCAGTCTGCACCCTAAAACCAGAGAAGAGAAAAAGTCAGCATCAGTTCTGAGAGAACACCAGGGCTCTGTCACAGCAATTCCAGAGGAGACCTTGAGAGCTAAGCTCAGTCACTGCACGGTGCTCAGCTGGTCCTAATTCACCTCCCATCAGTGTAGAGAAAAAGAGAATTCTGCAGTTTGGGCTCATTGTCAGAGAGGATCGATTCTTAGCTGAGACCCAGCCATGTGTCAGTGCACCAGAGCTGGGCCAAGGCAGGCGGGATGTAAACTGCAGTGCAGAAACTGTTTCTACAGCATTTTACTCTAGGATATTCTACAGCATTTTACTCTAGGATATTCAGCAAACATAAGACAATGAACTGAGGTTTGCTATCAACGGTCTGCTCTTGGCCTAAAAAGAAATTTTCATAGTGGAATTCCTTATATTCCTGTTAATTAATTTCTTAAGTTTCCAGTTTTATTGGTGTGAAAAAAATAGAAGAAAACCCAAGTAATGCAAGATTTGATTTTATCTGAAATAATCAGGATTCAGGAGACAGCGTGTACTGGATACTTCAGTTTGTCTTTACCAATCAGGAAACATGTGAACCCTTAGGAAAAACAAAACACATCCTGCCCTTTGCTTTGTTCATTGTGCCAGGACCTAGCCTCAATCCACAGAGATGAAGAATTGGTATATCAAAACAAACTGTAATAGTAGCACCTCTTGTATGTAGGTGCTCCTGGGTTTTCTTTTTCTTCTGTTACAAAAGCTCCAGCACTTCTGCCATGCTAAGGTAAGTGCTTATGTTACAAGAAAAAAAGGATATGTAACTACTAGGGCTTGGGTTGTTGATCCCCCATCTGTCAACTCTTACACTGCAGTCATTGTCAACATACCTGAATACTTCCTTTCACTGCTGATGACACACATCTTCAGGAGTTACATCACAATACAGCCGAAGACCAAAGTGTGCACTTGAACAGAACACTGCATTTTAGAATGTTTTTAAAATGTAAATTAAAGTGTTACTTTTAATTTTCCCATCTCCCTCCAAAAGGTGCATAACTTTGATCCCGCTATCATGTTTTGTGTGCTTCTGTTTGTACAGAACAGGTAGTTACTGTTGCTGGAGGTGTAATAGTGGGGATCCTGTTATTTGTTCTCATTGGAATAACTGCATACTTGCTCTGGAAGAAGCTTTGCCTTATTTATCCTTATGAAGAGCTCCCTGATCCTGTCAAAACACCACCTGTGAATGCCATTTTGCAAGATCAGTCACCTTCTGAAATTCAACCAAAAAGCACAAGGTATATAATTTTGTTTTTAAAGTAGGTGCTTTAACCTGGTGAAATTCAAATCAGCTATGAGCTGATCAAATATAAATGTTCTGCTTTCTTCTTTTCTAAAACTACGAATGCAGTGACTATTTGTAATTTAAGTAAGAGGCAGTATAGTTGAGCATTATTGGTGTATGGATAGCTTTATCTGTTACATAGACAAATATGGCCCAGGTGTCTGTGTTGTTCCTGGTAGTTTCAAACACAGAATACAAAATCTTAGCATTAGAACTTAGGTTCTGAAAGGAGACTCTCTTAGTTCGTTACCGCAGGGCTTTGAAGCTCTAAAACAGGAAGCTGCAGTTCTTCATTTTCTTTGAAAGATTAATTCTAAAAGAGAAGAAAGAGAAAGGTGAAGCATCTGTGAAGACATCAGATCTGAGGTCCCTTGGTGGACCTGTAGGCATTACACAGATATTTACAAACAAGGATATTTATTTTTTCCATCTGTGAATCTCTGTATTATTTTTTCATGTAAGCTCAGTATCCATATTACTGTTACCACGTTTGATTTCTGTATTTAAACTAGAAGAATCAGTAGCTGTTGATGTCTTGAGCAGATCCAAAAGCGTTCCATTTATAATTCCACCAACACTGCATGGGCGAGACTGGATTAACCTGACCAATGAAGAACAAATTCAGGAAGACAGTAACTCCTGCATGACTCCCCAGTCTGGGCCACGGTCGTCATTTCATTCTTTGGGTATGACATTTCAAACATACAGCTCTTGGAAGGGCAGGTTGATTATGAAGCACGTTATTGAAGGTATATCAGACACAGCATTGCACAGTGCAAGCCTACAACTACTCCCAGATTTGAGGGAAAAGTATTGCAGATATGAATCTTATGCAAAGATAGATACATGTGATTTCCTTAGTACAGCAGTGGTTACAATAATGCCCTTGAAACTAACGTGTTGATACTTTCTGTTTTGTGAAGCTGGAGCTTACACTGTAGGGACTGTTAACCCCAAGCTGTACAAGTTCCCTGAAGACAAGAGTGAGACTGACTTTCCTGAAGGCAACATTGGCCGTCTCTGGTTCTCTATAGAATATAAGCAAGCATCAGAAAGGCTCCTCATCTCCTTGATAAAAGCCAGAAAGCTGCAGCCTCCCTCTGACTCCTGCAGTCCGTTTGTGAAAATCTACTTGCTGCCTGATGAAAGATGCTACTTGCAGTCTAAAATAAAGCGTAAAACCCTGAATCCACAGTTTGATGAAAACTTTGTTTTCCAGGTACCTGTACTTTTGATGAAGCAGCTTTTTGTTTCCAAATGTTGTCTTATTGCATTAAAGCACACTTTTTGAAAATGAATTTTCAACATCTACCAAGACACAAGTGTCTCCACAGGAGGTGCAATTTATTACTGGGCCTTCTGGAGATTCCAGCTACCTACCCAAGTCTGTGGCTCCAGAACCAGCCCTACTTGTGGTCTATACCCAAATTAGGGATTCCAGAATTTGCCCTGCAAAGGATAACCCTACTCTGAACTATGGCTGAACAGTGCAGCCCCGCAGCTCTAGATGTCTAATGAAAACCTATATTGAAGTTTTTATAGCTTTTCATTTCTTTACAGTGAAAACAGACTAGAAATTAGAACCTATGAGGTGTCTGGAACTGTATTTGTATAATGCTGTAGAACTAGAAGTTTGGCTTCTGCAGCAAGCAGCTTTGCACAGGTGTCACAGACTTATTAATGGTGGAATCAATCTTCAAGATCATCTAATCCAACTGTCAACCCATCACCACTATAGCCACTAAACCATGTCCCTCATAGAACAAGCATTAAAACCAAAGAAGTTTAAGTTTCAGACAACTGAAAATGTTCACAGACTTCTAAACATTTGTCTCTAGAAGTGAATTTATCATAGCACTAGATTTTCACAGGTTGAAAAACTGATAGTTCTGCATTTTTAAAAAATCAACTGCTTTACCTCGGATCTTCAGATTCCCGCATAGCTAAAATGTGGGGCAAATTTGGAGCGCTGACTTGAAATAACCAAAGAAAATCTCCACCTACTTTTGTCACTCTTTGTGAAATTCTTCTTCTGAAGTTATGCTTGCGTGGAAAAGTCCCAGATAGCTTAACTATTATTTTCTTCCTTTTCCTGTGCAGGTTTCCAGTAAAACATTGCTTCAGAGGACTCTGAAGTTTCTGGTTTATCATGTTGATAAGCAGAAGCACCACCACCTCCTAGGCCGAGTCATCTTCCCTCTGAAAAATGAAACCTTAACTGATGACAGCAAAGTAGTCGTATGGAGAGATCTGGAGAAAGAAAACCTAGAGGTAGGTACACACCAGGCTGCTTGGCACTGTTGGATTTCTCTCCTCTTGCAAGTATTGGAAGGGTAAGATACAAGTGTGTTGTACTGAATACATCAGATGCTAAAGTTTGATAACTATTTGGATTTCAAGTTCCCCTCTTATGAACCTGCAGCCCAAAAGCAGCTGTACAGGCATTATCCAGCTGTTCGGAGTCGCACAAGAAAGTACTTCATGTTATCTCCTTCTGCTTTGAAACTGTAAGAGCTGAAAAAGTTCAAGAGGAAGGAAGATTGAGGAAGGCTGATTAACCGGTGTTATCAAATGTCACAACAGCATAAAAAAAGCCATTGCTATTTGCTGCCTCGGTGCAGCAGAAAGCACCAGCATGAAGAAACAGCCCCCTCCTCCCATTTATCTGTGTGAAGAGTTTTTCAGACATCTGATGAATGCCGTTTCACTTTCCAAGACTCCCTCAGAGCATGGCGATATCCAGTTCTCCCTCAGCTACAATGACTACCTGGGTCGTCTTACTGTGGTGGTTCTGAGGGCAAGGGGATTAAAGCTCCAGGATGAGAGCCGTGCTGTCAGTAAGTGTCTCTTCCTCTTTGCTACCAGCTCCAGAATTCCTCCTGCAATTTGTTCCTTCCTCATTAGTGCACCCAGACTAATACTGAGTGACTCTCAATAGAACAAATAAACAGAGTCATTTGAATGAAAACAAAGTGTTTTGTTACTGGGGTAATTAGATTTTGCTAACTTGGTTCTGCTGTGTTTTGGCTTTGGTTCTTAATAGTTCGTCCTTCTACTTGAACACAGAATCATTGCTTTGCTGCGCTCCAATTCAGAATTAACAGCTGCCCCAGGAAAAGACTTGAGGCAAAAGACAAAAGGTTAAGGGCTGCAGAACGACTGCTTGCACTGAACAGCTGTCCCAGGGGGAACTGAATTTGGAGAAAACTCCCAGTTTAGGATGGCCTGGCTGTGGTTTCAAGGACCATGGCATCGAGTCACAACCCTTAGCGCTTCCTGCACTGGATTTTTTTTTTCTCTGGCACATCCTACTGAAGTGCCCTTGGCCTCAGATGTTGAAAACAAATTTTCTAGTGTCCAGAACTTTGGTGATGTAGTGAAAAGCTCTGAAACAGAACAATATAAATGCAAAATAGTATCTAGCAGCTAAAAGATGCTTAGTTCTCTCTGTACAGACAAATCACAAACCATGAAGTTTCTTTGAACAAGCTGTTTGACTTCAGAGATACCCTCTAAATAAGTTTATAGATTCTCTAGCAAATCCTACAGAAACAAGAATGAGAAGCTCTTGACAGGGCTCAGTGCCACATTAATCTCTGATAAAATATATAGTGTGAGACTGTAAGAAGAAATTTATTTTTAGGTTTAGGTGAATTAAGTGTTTTCAAGAAGTAGTGAAGTAATTAAAAGCTAGATACTGTATGGAGCAATTTACATAGTTACTCTTTTCCATATATGGGACTCAGGTAACAGCTCAGCCAGAACAAGCATCTGTTCTGGTAATCCTGCAGCCTCAGAACAGTAGTGAGAGCCTAGTGGAACTATGAAATAACCAGGAGACACGAGGAGCCTGCCAACATTGGCTCCGTCCTGACATTTCTGATTGTTTTTGTCATACAGACAAACCTTAATGAACTGAGTAGCAGGGAATAGTAAACACAGTATCAGCAGAGGTAATTCCAACCTGCTCTGGATCTCCCTGTCACAGATTGAGTAAGACCACAATACAGTACAGGTCCTCTACAGAAAGCATACAAGTATTTTGTTGTCACCCTGCCCACCCCGACACCATTTTTGCAACTTTCAAGATGACAAAGCAGAGATCATTTAAAATCGTTCCTCTTTTCTACAGATTTTCTATGAAATTCCTCATAGCAGGACCAGAAGTCATCGATAGTACCTTTTCAAGATTCTGAATTGGACAATTAGTTCCCCCCAAACAGATACAGTTCTATCAGAAATCAGATATCAGTTCTATCCAAGTATAGACTACACAGCCTCCCTTGTGTTAGATCAACAGTGATCACTTACATGAAAATAAAGGTTTATTTATCAGTAGTTTAAAGAAAAAAACCATCAGATGGAAGGAGGGTACAGGAATGTAAGACCAAGGATGACAGGTAAGAAGATGACTGCTCTTTTCCACAGCTCTTGAATTGGAAAGGGCAGGGTGAAGCTGCACCCTCTGTGTACTCTCTGCTTCATTTACACATTACCACACTGCCATATACATTTCAATCATTCATGATGGAGTTTTATACTTGGCATTTACTCCTGAAAGCGAAAAATTCCTTAAGCCTTCCTAACTGCCTCTGATATCTATTTCTTTTTCTCCCTACAAGGTGTGTATGTCAAGGTCTCGTTAATGAACCATAACAAGTTAGTCAGAAGTAAAAAGACAGCAGCTGTTCTGGGATCTCCCAATCCAGAGTATAACGAATCCTTCAGTTTCAAGGCAAATCAGACAGAGCTGGATACAGCAAGCCTGAGTCTATCTGTGCTCCAAAACACTGAACAAAGTAAGCTACATATTACAGTTGTCAAATCTCTTATTACACTGCAGAGAGGATTAAACCCGGAAGGGACTCATAATCGTTAACTTTTAATCATAAAGCATCAAAAAGATTTGGAGTATTGTTTGCTCTCTTTAAAAAGGAGAGCAACTTCTTTGCAGTAAATGTGTGTCTCTTTCAGAAGGGAAAAATTTAGCAGAAGATAACTGTAGGCTAGTCACTATCAGAACACAAAATGTTGTACTTTTGTTTCATTCTGGTGTTCTAAGGAAACAAGCTTATACAATTATGATTTGTGAATGCTTATGCATATAAATCCCCATCTCCAAAATTTTGAAGCCATTTACAATTTCTGATCAAATTTGGAAGATGAGCAGTAATTTTAATTATCACAGCAATTCAGGCAGTGGGATACAAGAAAGATTACAAACATTTCCTCTGCCTGGCAGAAAGCCTAATGCTCGAGGTCACCTTTTAATAATTATCAAGGAATCCATTAAGGAGTTCTGCTTAGAGAAGCAAATCAGAATTCAGTGTTTCTACTGCTCACGGTGCAAACTCCTCCCTGCAGTGCCAATCTGATATCAGTAATTTAACATTAATACTCTACTTTGGATTCAGACTGGTCTAAAAAGAAAATAATAATAATAATAATTGAGATGAGTTTATGGGTAGGTGGTTTGACTTGGAGGACTGACAAGGATTAGGATCAGTGTTTGAGTCACATTTTTTACTTGCAGATGACAAAATGCTTTACAAAAATCCTCAAATTCATCTGAAGTAGGTTCAAATTATCTTCCCCATCCTAGGCTACATAGTTAAGAAGAAACAATCTGCTTAATCACAGAGCAGAAAATTAGCTGGTGGCAGAACACGAAATGGAACCTGTGTATGGACTCCCATCTGATGTCTCAGTAGCTGGATCTGTTATTTCCCAAGCTAGAGTATCATACAACCCCTGCTAAGCTTGTGAATGCCTTAAACTAGGGCACACTTGAACAGTATGCTTGGGTAGAGGATCTGGACAGACAGAACCGTGTGTCTTAATCTCACTGTAATTTAGAGCACAGGCAACAAGGTCTGAACTGACTAAACAGCCACTTTCAGCATTAAAAAGTTTCTTAGCACGTAAGAATTAGGGAACTGGATATTGAGTGTAGATTCCTTGGGAAAAAAAAATATATATATTTAAACAGTTTTCAGAACATGAATTTCTTAGAGAAATAAAGGTTAAGATTCTCATTTATATTTCACTTAAGCACTCATGGGTGTTAATTACTAACTGCTTTTTTTTTTTCCCCCTAGAATCACACGTGCTGGGCCGTGTTGTAGTTGGGCCATACATGTACAGCCGAGGCAAAGAACTAGAACACTGGAATGAAATGATCAGTAAGCCTAAGGAGCTGGTTAAACAGTGGCATGCTCTCTGCTACAGCACTTAAACAGCATCACTCTATGGACAAAAAACACACATAAATGGAGAAGCTCTCACTGCCTTTTAAAACCTAATGATAAAGGATACAAAGTCTTTGAACAGTTGACACTCCTATGCAGGCAGGAATAAAAGTATATTCTTTCTTTCTCCAAACACATCAGAAGACTTGGTGCCTGGTAGTCTGGAACCCAACTCCAACCTGCACATCTCCCCAGATCTCTCTCTGCTGGAAGCAGAGCATGGATTAAGGTTTGACCTACTATGGACATTCTTACACAGAAAACTCAGTCAATTGGTGGAAGGCCTTAGCATTTATGTTTGTTTTAGTGGTAGCTTCCTGCACTAATTAAATTACTGTTCTGCAACGTAATTCAAAGCAATTATTTTCTCTCAAAATAAATGCAATTCTTCTCTTCCTGACTGTTCACTTAGGGTCCTGACCTTCACACCTTTTATACCCTACTGTCATAAACCAGACAGGCTACTGCAGGAAAGCATTTTGTACAATTTTGTACAATTATGTTCCAAGAGGACTATGAGTCAATTTCCTTTCAAACAAGATATTATGCTAATTCAGTATAAAAAAACTTTTCCATTTCTCATCATCTACAGGAAAATACAATGAACGAAAACATACCTGGAAAGGAACTGTTAAAATAGAACACTCCTCTTCACCTGATCACCCATCTGAAACATTAAATGGTATTCTCAGTCTGTCTTGCTGCATCACTGGATATAAGAGTGCAGCTGTTAGAACTTAATCAAGTATTAAAATATCGTATCTCCATTAAACGAATATACTGCCCAAACCTAAATTTAACTACAAAACCACAGAAAGTTTATCCAATATACAGTATTAAATTCCAAAAATAAGAATATTTAAATGCACTTACTAGTGTACTTCATGTTTCTCAACCAAAATAAATGAAAAAGGTCCATTTTGACTCTTCCTGCACAGCAGTTATTCCAGTAATGAAAAATATATGAATAAGATGTCACACTAAGATGCACAGAGCACAAAGCCCTCACCCAAGAAACATGCAGCAAAGAGATGTAAGATTATACAAAACGTGATGCTTTTCTCAATACTCCCATTACTACTGAAAAACTTCAGTATTTCCAAAGCTCTACAATAACGCTATCATGCACTCATAGAAAAACAATCCCTGTCAGTGGCAGTGAGCAGCAATTTACCTGTTTTACAGCAGAAATGAAGGATACACTCTGTTTTTTATGAGAAGAAACCTCGCCACTACTCAACCAGAACATTTATCTGTACATCATACTCTACCTTCACTTCTTTGCTAATTAGAATTTCTCTTACACCAGCCTTCTAAGTCGAGTGAAGAGTCACCTCTATTAGTCCCTCCTTCCTCTAAGAGAAGAACTGAGAGGCCAGATGCATTTATTTGGTGACTAGCTGCTCCTAACATAAAACATTCTAAAAACATCTTGATATAACAGAAAAGGAACACAGTGTTACAGATGATCATGGATCAGACGGCTCCTAGGAAGGAGAACTCCGTGCCAGACAGTAGCACAGAAAGATAGTGCAATGACTTCCAATCTGGAATGCATGGAAAGAAGTCTGAAGTGAAAAACATAAGACAGCGGAACTTATAATTTCCAAGAAAGAATTATTAAAGCAAAGATCAGAAGTGAAGCTACAGCGTTACAATAAATTAAACTGACATTGAACTGCACTGTTACACAACATGGATCAGATTTCACAAAGGAACACTTAAAAGAGTCAGAGAGTGACCTGAAAGGATCATGAGAAAAGAACGAGGACCAAGTTAGCCAGCAGCACAACCACAATACATGGAACTCAGCAGTCAGATGCACACAGTTCAGCAATCCAGATGGCACAACTTCCTTCCAAAGTTATCAAACCATCCTAATGAGGCTGCATAGCGACACGATGTTAAACAATCTTTAGAATTTCTCTAACATAATTGATGTCTGGTTTTCCCAAGTCTTATTAAATTCAAAGAGCTCCAGGAATACTTAAATTCATACCAGATTAATATTCATGTTTACGCCTCATTTAAACAAAGACAAACACTGAAATCATTCTTTCTGTATCTTGTCCCCCAGCACTAAGTAACCCACAATCTGGAATCAGGCAGTGCTGAGTGAAGTATAGATGGGATGAGGTACAAATGGTGAAAACATGAACAGTGAGGTAATACTCACTGCAACTCATCTGAAGGAGTTTCAGAAAACTGCAGTTTTAGTCTTACGAGTTAAGAGACACACATTCAGAGATGGAATAAAATAATGGGGAAATTGTTTTTTAATGAAGATAGCCAGGGATTAAACCACAAGGGTTTAAGGGGAGGGTGCTTGCTCTTTTTTCCATCAAGTCTTCATTTTTGAGAATGTGTTTGAGGCTTGTGGATAGCTGAAATGTTATGTAGAGACATTTACTAACTGAGAACAACACAGCTAAAGATATGCAAGAATGCAACCTAAGAGAATATAGAAAATATGATTTACACCCTACAGCTTGTCTCAATAAGAGTCATAATAAGAGGCAGTTAGTCTCAGTTGGAAGCATAATTCACATCAGAATACAATACTGATCACCATCTTTCTACTTGATCACTTTCAGAGTAATAGTTATCAGACTGTTGCTTTATAAAGTCAGGTAACCTCATCAATTACTCAATCTTTTAACAACAGTGTATTTTGACAGTGTCTTCTAAGACCTTAAAAAGAACCAATTTAAGTTTTAAGCCTGATTGAACTGGGAGAAACTTGTGTTAAATTGGATGTAACCAATTTTGAAACTGGCTCAGTGTGAGTATGCATATTTATTTGCTACCTTACAGCTAAATGCATTAAATTATTCAAAAGTAGTATTTTAAAAGAATGCACCATGTAAAATTATTTAAAACCTCTGAGATTACTGCAACAACTTGTAGCTACACAAGATTAAATCCTCAGACAGATGTTCTAAGAGAAAATAACAGCAAAACCACTGAGGCAGAACAGTAGAAATACTGCTGTTAAAAGACAGACCCACAACAGGAGAGCAAGCACAAAAACAACAAATTGTAACTTGGTGATCTTTTTCTCTTTTCTCTTGTCTGTGACTAAAATCAAGCTACTAAATCCCAATTCTCTTCCTCAATCTGCCATATGAAAAATAATCAGTCTCAACACTAGAAAACATTTCCAAAGAGAAGAAAATTGAGTTATCAGCAAGTATTTATTAAAATTAAAAATATATATATTCATATATTTTACAACAATTTCAAAGTTTTACAGCAATACTATATACAATCAGTACATATTCCATACCCGTTCTTCTGTGATTATTTATATTTAAAATACTGGCTTCTTTGAGCTAATTCAGTTTCCTTAGGTTTGCAATCCACGTCTTACAGTCTTTTATTCAATCATTACTAAAGTTGATGCTTCAAAGATCAGGATGAAAATTTAGCAGGTGGAAATCCTTCTGCAAAGGATAGCTGTTTTCATCTAGTACAAAATGGCTTCTAATGTCCAACAAATAGGATGCTTCCATATCTGCTAGCAGTGAATGACACACATCTGCTACTATCATGCCATAGGTTACATCTGAGGAGGGCACTGCAAAAGACAGAACAATTTATATCATATTATGAAAGATAAGAACTAACATTCAAGTCTTACCTCCATGAAAGCTATACTGAATTACAAGAATAAATGAGCATCCAAATAAGATATTATTTGGTTCTCACCTTTTTTTAAAAAATAACATGCAAAATGTGTTCCTGTCAACTGTTTAATCATAACACTTGAGTCATGTATAAAATGATGATGTACCAATGGAAGCCTGTCTGAAACAACACAGGGGCTGAGAGACTTGCCTGTTTGGCCCCAAGAAGAGAAGTCTGAGAGGGGGTCTGATCAACATTTATCAAAAGTGCAGGAGGCAACTGGAAGAAGCCAAACTCTTCCAGTGGCGTATAGTGATAGGAAAAGGAATAATGGCCAAAAGCTAGAGTGGAGGAAGTTCCACACTAATTTATGTAAGAACTTCCTTACAGTGAGGGTGACAAAGCACTGGAACAGGCTGCCCAGAGAGGCTGTGAACTCTCCTTCTTTGGGGATATTCAAGGCCCAGTTGGACGCCCATCTATGCAACTTATTGTAGGGAACCTGCCCTAGCAAGGAGTTGGACTCAATCTTTAGAGGGACCTTCCAACCCCTGAAATTAAAATTAAACACTGTTATAGTTATTTACATGACTAATGTATGGCAGCTATTTTTAAAAGCTTAAAAGAGATTTTATTTTGCATATAAGGAATCCATTTAGTAGCCAAATATTTAGTTACATAATGTATAATAGATACTCACATAATCTCACCTATTACTGTTGCTACCCAACTCTGAACTTCAGAATTTTTCAGATAGCAACTGAAACGTTCTCTTCAGGTTGCTTTTTTTCCCCTTTGTTTTTTAAGTCTCATATACCACATGAATGTTCATCATACTTATCCGACACCAAAATCTCATACATATCTTAACTGTCAGTAAGTAAAAATTTCCTTTTCACTGAGAACTTTGCTGCCTGTAGCGTTTTTATTACGAATTCATTCACAGAACAGTACCTACTGATCTGTTCAGCCAGTCTGCAGGAATATTAAGGAAGATTTTTTCCATCAGCTCAGACACCACGCGTACATTAATCTCACATCCTCCATCTTCCACTGTCATCAAAGCAGGTCTAGGTACAAAAACGAAAGGCTCTTGAAAATTAGCTGCTGCAAAATTTATGAATGAAAGTTACACAATGTAATACAATCCTCCAACATATCAAGTAGAAAATTTCTATGCACACATCTGTCAAATACGTACAGTTAGAATATGAGCTTGAAATCACCAAACACCAGTACACAATGTTAACGTAACTTTTAAAGCTACAAGTAAGCCTTACTATGAGACAGCTGCAGAAAGCCAGGCTTTAGTCATCTCCTTTCCTGAAAGAGGATGAGAACTGCACCAAATGACTTTTTTTAAAAAAACAGAAAGCATAAACATAAGGGAGATTATTTAAAAAGGGTGTTGGTTTTTTTTTGAAGGAGTCTTGCATTCTAGTAAGACTCCTAAGTTATCTGAAGTCTTACATAAGCAAAATATAATGCAGGAAAATTTACACATCCACAG